TAATTGTCCCCATTTTATTCAAAAAACGTTTTTTGTTACGTTTTTTTCCTGAGTTCAGAAGGAAAATAAAACAGTTAAAAATTCAAAATATATTTTCATAAAACGAAAAAATATCACATTGACATTTTTACGCAAAAGAAAACCCCATGAGTCTCGAGTTTTAACTGGTGAGAACATTTCGTGAGGGAAATATAAAAAACAAGGTTTAAAAAACTGAATTTAATTCTGACGGCAACATTGACCATGACATCGATTAATTTTATGATCAACCTACAAAGTGACAACGAAAGAACTGTTATGAGCAGATAGACAGAAAAATAAACAGAGATCGATAAGCATTATGAAGTAAATATAATAACAGACTGAATCAAGTTGTTTTTTTTTTCCTGAGAAGGAAATGAAACAGTTAAAATTCAAAAATTCGGGAAATATAAAAAACAAGGTTTAAAAAGATATATCGATTAATTTTATGACAAAGTGACAACAAAGAACTTCATTGTTGAACTTTCATAATGACAGACTTGCCGATAGAACGGATGAAATCTTGATATTGTAGATACCAAAATTTAGAAAAGTACACCAATTTTATGTCTAGAGAGGGTTTTAACAGGGGACACTGAAATCTGGGGATCCATTGGGATAGCGAAATATGCCTTCTAAAAGTTAAACAATGTATTAAGAAACAGAAAAAAATCCTTAGAAACAAAGAAAAGAGTACTGAACTGTTCATGCAATATCAGTCCTTCAATATGGCAGCAAATGCTGGACAATCACCCCACAGACGAAAAAAAGACTTAAAGAAACAGCAATATGGCTCTACAGAAAGAGGCTCAGAATAGCATTGATCGAAAAAAGTGATCAACGATGAAGTTATGGAGAAAATGGAAACAAAAAGGACATTATACTTAATATCAGCAAAAGACGGTTGAAGTTTCTAGTGCACATAATGAAGGCAAAAGAGACAGAGGAAAGCAACGTAGAACCTACTTGACGAATTTGAGTAAATGCATGACGTTAAAACGTTTAAGAGAGATAACAAAAAGACAAAATTTATTAAAAGCTACAAGGGAGAGGAAATTGTGGAGAGCCATGATCACCAGCGTTCTGACGAGACACGGCACATAGAAGAAGAATACTCTAGCAAAATGGGTTACGTAGTATTAATTAAAAAGAATTAGCTACCTGAGGTGTATTTAATCAACATGATTAAAATATATTAATTATAGACGTGATGTTTATTTACATATTTCAGCATACAGATGACTTCTTCTGCCTTTAGAATGAGACTTGATTTTAATGGCACATCAACTCCTTATCAGTTACTTATTGAAGAAATTTAATTTTATTTGGAGTTTTGAAGTAATAAAAATATGTTATATGTTATTCTTTTTTCACAATTGAATACATAGCAGTTGATATTTGTCTACATTTCTGAGATGAGATATTGTAATTATTTATATTATTTACATTATTTAAACTGTTATCCTCATCTTTATTGCCATATTTCCGACGTTTCGGTCGTTGTAAGCTCCGTTGTCCTCAAGGACACATGGCAGAGTGGAGTCAGTGACTTGGCCCAAAGTGTTGTGAGTTCAATACTTAACTACTGCAGTGGTGAATAAAAACTAGGAAAGATGAGTTAAAGGTAGATAACTGAGACCTCCAGACGAGGCATGGCACGTGGAACTAGAACAATCTACCCCGCTGGAGGAAATAAAGGGTTCAGTTCGAAATTCTAATCACTTGAAGACGGTCGAAGCATACAACGGTCGAAAAGTCGTGAATATGGCAACGAAGATGAGGACAACAGTCCGAACAAGTAAATAATGTAAATGGTAGTTGATAATCATCTTTTATGTATATACATGTTTATGTATATACATGTTTATGTATATACATGTTTATGTATATACATGTTTATGTGGACATGATAGCTGGAGGCGGTGATATGTGTGTTACATGTTGTAGTTGTAGGAGTCTGGCTGTCGATTTCTGACTTGCTTGGCCCTCCTACGTCGATAAAACGACGGGAGAGTTCAGTATGTACACACACACACACACACACACACACACACACACACACACACACACACACACACACACACACACATATATATATATACGCACACACGAAGGGTAGTTTAAAATTACAGCACTCATAATATAGATATGTTATGGCGAAAGTGCGGATAGTTTTTGACTAACCTTAGTATATATATATATATATATATATATATATATATATATATATATGAATGATCAAATATAGTTTTATTGTGTGCTATATTTATATGTTAAAGTGCACAGTATCAGAGATAGAGCGTATGTAAATACAAAAGTGGACATTGATGTCAACACCCACAGGCAACAGTCTATTTCATGCGAAACACAGACGTCAGGTTCTGACGATTGCGTTTAACAAAGTGTTGCCCCCTTGACGCTGACTTCAGTATCCGTTGATATATATATATATATATATATATATATATATATATATAGGCGTGTCAGGCAATGATTGATTTTTACATGTCTATCTAAGTGCTTTGAGGATTGAATATAAGCCATTCCTTTTTATGCATCAAGAAAAAAATGAGCAGTAAAGAACAAGCCTATAAGAATGAAATACTAAAGACATTACGTTTTTATATATTTCTTATAAAAAGAAAGAAAAAAATTAAACAAACAAATGAAGCAGTCATTTTGTTCTATGAGTCATCAGAAAATAAAAAAAGAAGCTATAAATATTTCTGTCGTGAAAGCCTTCGAAATGTTACCAAGTTTAGAAATTGTTTCTCACCAAAAAGTAAAACTCATAACATAAAGTAGACATATATTTCCTGGGAATTCGAAAGATATTGTGAAAGAATATTTTACCAAAACGAAGCACCGTTTCCTTCTAGAACTTTTGTTACCCCATATTTCTAAAGCGATATTTAAATCCAGAATGACATCAGAAAGAGTAAATCAGATGCAGAACTTACACAGCGAAGAAACCGTCTGCGTTCAGATAATAAAGGAATTTCATAAATATACAAATATAGAAAGGGTCGTAAGACAAGGATGTGTCTTCTCACCGGACTTATTCAAACTTTACAGTGAGACAATTATAAGAGAATTAGAAGTCCTACTAAGAGCTTATTTTAGCTCTTACAACTGTTGCAACTTTCAAGTCGTATATGTATACATAGCTGTGTATATGCTTGACGTTATGTTACTGTCAAGTTTTCATACGCACCAGCTCTAACATACTCACACGAGCAAGCACGCACCACCACATATCCTTCCTACTTCTCATAAACTCCCCCAGTGACCTGTATATATAGCCCCCGCAAGGAGTAATGACAAATGGTCTGATGATCGCCTGTTGCGTGAAATTGACCATTGGCATGCAGGGTTGATCTGTTTGTCTTCATTGTCTGTATTTGCCAGCGCTCTATCCGTAATATTGAGAACATTCTCACAAAAATGTAGTAAACAATATATATATATATATATATATATATATATATATATATATATATATAAATTGCTATAATTGTGAATTGATTAACTTGCTTTTTTACGGCTTATCAACCCATTTGTGGGTTATTTAAATCCAAAACATATTTTGGATTGCAAGAATAAATCTTTTATTTTGCGAATGGATATTGCGTTAACAGTTTTTTTGAGAATAACAATATTTTTTAGACGCGTTTGCCATTATTTAACCCATAACTGGGGGAGATGTAATTGTAGACAGGACTCAATACGATATATATTTTTGAAACTTTGGTTCATGTTCGAAGACTTCTATGCTCTTCATTAGTGAAAGGTTTACATGTATTTAATTTTTAAGTGCATGTGTAAAAATACAAAGCATCTTTGTAACGGGCAATAATTCAAAATTCTCAGAGAAGAAGAGGAGGGGGAGAGGTTGCATTAGTCAACAAACGATTTTTATAATGCTACAAAATTATTTTTACGTCTTCAAGAGTGTTATAAGAGATTAAATTGTTCAGATTTTTTCTTTTCTTTTTTTTTAATCATATTACTCTAAGCAAGGCAATAAAGCCGCTAAGATGCAAAGAGTTAGTGAGTGCGAAAAAAATGATAAAAAGAAGAACTTTATCAAGGACGGAGAACAATAAAAAAACATAAGACAGAAGATAACAATTGATATTACATATATATATATATATATATGTGTGTGTGTGTGTGTGTGTCTGTGTGTGTGTGTGCGCGCGCACAATCACTTATACATATATGTAATATATCAATTTGTTCGGAACCCAAGGAAGAAAAACTTTTAGATTAAATACGAATACATTTTGCTATCACAAATCCTTCTGTAATAGCCAATTAATGGCGTGTTCGCTCAGCGATGAAAATTAAAATGCCTGTTTTGTTTAGATTGATCATTATTTCACAAATGTTTGCAAAAAAACCCAAAAAAACCAAAAAAACAAAAAAAAAAAAAATCTATATATTCAGTTAAAAGTAAAATAAAATTCATCCCTTGATAATGGCTAAAAGTTTAGCAGAAAGATTATAAAATATAGTTTTCAGGTAAGCTTGATTTATGGGGAAAAGTACTCAATATCCGGGATAAACTAGGTTTAGATCTAAGAGATGATGCGAAGGTCAACACCGAGTGGCAACAGTCTGTTTTTTGCTTAAACGTAATCATCAAATAATCTATCTCTCTCTCTTTCCACACACACACACACACACACACACACATATATATATATATATGTCTGTGTGTGTTTGTGGGTGTGTTTTAGGATATGTATAGAATATGACTAGATAAAAGCAGACAGACTGACCGATAGAAACAGAAATACGGGAGGTGATGATGAGGAAGATGAGGATGAGAGAAAAAGACAGTAAAAGAGAAAGAGAGAGAGAGGGGGGAATATAAGACTTGAAAGAAATGGAAAAAGAGATTGGGCGAGGAGTGAGAGAATGGAGCGGGTGAAAGGGGAGTATTTTTATTTCAGCGAAATCAAGAATTTCGTATAATGCATTGGAATTTGGCGAACCGAATTGATTTTCTCTCTCCCTCCCTCTCTCCCTCTCTCTCTCTCTCTCTCTCTATCTATCTATCTATCTATCTATCTATCTCTCTTTTAATCGTTCTTGGGGTTGGTTCTGGTAAGAAAGGCGGAGATTGGCGTCACTTCAATATGTTTGGAGACAATAGCAGTTAATGAAGCGAGGAGACAGGAAAACAATGCACAGACGACAAAATAGAAGTGGAATAAAGTACAAAACTAGCTCAAAGAAAAGAATATAAGGGAAAGAATACAAAATAAAATGTTATTTTCTCTCTTATAAATATTCGTTCCTGTCTTTATTTTCTTTCATCTGCTACGGACACTGTATGAAAAAAAATTATTGTTGGGTTAGTAAGAATGGTAGGTAGGCAATACTGCAATGTTTTATGTATTCCTTCGCCTATGATATTATCTACAAATCTACCTGTCTGCGCTAATCTATCTATCTATCTATCTATCTATCTATCTATCTATCTATTCAGTTTGTTTATATATATATATATATATATATCTCCCTGCCTGCTTCCCTATCTATCTATCTATCTATCTATCTATCTATCTATCTGTCTATCTATCTATCTATCTATCTATCTATCTATCTATCTATTCAGTTTGTTTATATATATATCCCTCCTTCCCTCTCTCCCTATCTATCTATCTATCTCTCTATCTATCTATCTATCTATCTATCGATCTATCTATCTATCTATCTATCTATCTATCTATCTATCTATCTATCTATTCACTGATAAAGTTTTTGATTTACAAGTCGCTTATGATAACCTTGTAAGCTCAGTTTATGAAATATGTGAGTATTTAGTAACGTGTTATGCGTTTCACTCCAGATTATCCTAGAATATATATTGCGGACAGTCTGACGCCAGAGAAGCCAGGTGCATCGACGGTTTGGCCTGACAGATGAACTCTTGTCGTCCATCGAATGAAAAAAGCTATCAGCCAAGCTGCATCTATGATGTACGCATGGGAAAGAACCGCACGGCAGAAAGATATATAAACACCCACACTGGAGAGGAGACTCTCTCTATCAGACACCGTAGATGAAAATCTAACACCCAAGTAAGGATGAGGATCTGGGGCCGCATGCACATATACTGATCGATAGTAATTGAAGAGGACAAGGATTTAATATGAAAATGTTAAGTATGAAAGATTCAGTTTCCTGTTTTTATTTGTGATATACGACGAGCCTTGGCGCTAGTAATGCAGTTCTCTATTGTCATTCATTGTTCTCTATTGTCATTCATTGACTATTCAAAACATTGATTGTTATAAACTTTTATATTATTATTGTTATCGTGTCGCTACACTACACCCATCAAGTGTTGCACAGACAGCCTTTGCCTGTGGTGGTATGGTTTCATGCTCATTAAATGTGCATGAATCTTCAAGATTGGGGAAAACTAGATACTCCATAGTAATTACCCGGATTGACAGTTGGGATCATCATCGATGGCATTATTCCCATTTATGAAGGTTGACTCGATAGCGACAAACAGTTGTTTGAAGGCGATTCAGGCAAGACAAGAAGGGTCAGGCATCAATCAAACTAGTGGTAGGGATTTTGTATGGTCGATAGAGAGACTGTGTTTCGCGTTGTTAAAGTGGTTGAACTACAGTTACAGACGCTGACTAGAATCTCTGTTGTTCAATGGTTCAACTGAATATAGAAAGCTAACACTTGACTTGAGCCTCTTTGTCATTGGTTCACAGCTGTGGAGTGGATGACGAGGATCAGTTTCCTGCTTCAAATTTTCAAGTTAAGCGTGGACTGTCCTTCTAATGTATGGGGGAGTGATGCCATTAAGCAAGTAGAGGTCATTCCCTTTGGTTTGTTTGATTGATCTGCAAGGGACATTTAAGGCAGGGTCGATTTTCTTTGTATGTGATAATCTCCTCCACACTTTGACCCTCTGCATATTGGCAACTGATTTCGTCAGTTAGGAGACTGCCTGCTTTGCACATAATGACGAATATCGGATCAGGCTGCTGGTTCCAGTTCAGTGCAAGACACAATTAATCTCCTCTTCCAGTTTCCCTGAAATGTCGGAAAATATTTTCCTATCGTTGGAACGTAACTGGAACGCCGACAGTATTCTGATTATTTGTGATAAATATTTGATCTTGCAGTATTTATGAAGTAAGGTTATTTGGAAGCCATTGTTAGACGACATACACGACAAACACGTATGAGATTGTTGTGACGATTCTATTTTTGGGCGCGGAGTATTCACTTCTTGCATGCAGGGGAAAAATAATAGCTTATGCTTGAAAATAATTCCATCACATTATTACAAAGGTTTATTTGTATTCTGTTTATGTCCCTTCCCGTTTGTACGCATGCGCGCGCACATTGTCTAATGTAGTTACTTGTAGGTGCCTATTAAAAGTAGAGATCTTAATAATCGGGGAGGGTTGGAATTTTTTTCAACATACTATAAACGGTGTCAGGAGATAATAAAAGGGGCCTGAAAATCATTTTACGTGTTAATACGAGCGACATTAATAAACGAAGTTGTCTTAATACGCTCGGGCGTGTTGGAATATTCCCTCAATTAATTAAATAAATAAATCTCTCTACTTCTGCATGGTGCGGCAGAAATACCTCCGATGTGTACACAAAAGTAATGTTTCTACCATAACCTGTATATGGCAGATAACAGCATAAAAAAAATTACGTTGAGTCAAATGGCGGCAAATATAAAATCGTCTTTGTTTCAGTCATCGAACCGTTGTTGACACAACTAGTTATAGTAGTAAGAACTTTATATGAAAATACAAACAGTTTTAAGTATTTGATTTTTGAGCAGGTTGGATATACATGATACATGGAAAACCTGTAAATCCAATTGTATGTATGTATATATATATATATATATATATATATATATATATATATATATATATATATATATATATATATATATATATATATATATATATATATTCTCTCTTCCTGTTCGTTCATGTCTATACTAGTTTTTTTATTTGTGTGTATGATACATGATCAGTTTAACAGCAACTTCCCAGTTACATGTATGAGTGGAGTTATGTGTTTTCGTTTATTGACAGAGCAAGTTTATTGAACGTTTTTTACACACTCTATGTCCAGAAAAGAAAATCAGTGGTCTTCAATGGGACATTCTCAAAGCAATACTTATACAACAAAAATAACTAACTATAAATAAAATGAATTATAATTTAAGAACTCGCATCCGCAAACATATGTAAACAAAAAACAAAAAATATATATATATATATATATATATATATATATATATATATATATATATATATATATATAAACACGTACCAACACGTCACACCTCGCTCATATCTCTACATTCACCAGTTCTACGAAACTCACCATTTTCTTCCAAAATGAACTTCGAGCAATTTCTGACGGGATTTCCTTCTTATCTGAGAAGCATTATTCGTAATTTAGAAAAGTCGATCAATAAAATCAATAGTAACAAAACGTCTGTTGTGTTGTCTTTAATAATATATGCTTTAAAGAACATTTGCTGTATAAATACTTGCACAATATATATATATATATATATATATATATATATATATATATATATATATATATATATATGCGTGATTGCGTTTCCCTTAGATCAACCACAAATTCAGATATATGCATACTTATATCTATCTGTGTTTACTAGGCTTAGCTTAATCGAACTCAAAACCAGATGAACAATATCCAGAGTGAGGATCAAACTCGCTACAGTAGTAATTGTCTAACTTGGTGACTATTTTACCATGCCGAGGTGCGATCTTTATGGATTTATTTATCTCATTCTATTTATGTGTATCTTTCTATGCATCTACATTATTTAGGTTTTCTTATCGTTCTCTCACCCGTCTTTCACCTTTTTGTTTCTCCCCACGCTCTGTCTCTCTTTCTTTTGCTTCCTCTAATTTAAATACTTCACTTTCCCTCCAATATTCGTTGTAGCATATCTCTGCTTCCATACACCTCTAAGAAATCTGCGCCCACTCCTTTCATAGCAAGGGAGACAATTATTTGTCAATCGTGGATTGTCACAGCTGACATAATGACGTAAGAGATCAATCTTGAATTCTGCGTCATTCGCATTGGAATCGATTTGCCTCGTTTCCCTTACGTTGCTTTGTTTTCTTATTGGTTTTCTGTTGTTACTTGAACGGACAAGGCACTGAATTTTCTGCCTAAGGGTCGCTTTGGGAATGAAGAATAAATTGCGTCAAATCGAAAGCGGATCATTTGATATTGCAGCAATATAAGAAAGAAAAATGATATGAATAATTGGCATTGGAAAGAAAATTGGCAAGAAGAAGATGAATCTTTTTCGATTAAAAAAAAAAATGGCTTCATGATTGACGACTCATAAGCCATCTTTAATGAACAACCGGCTTGGAAAAGAAGATGCAGGAAAAAAAATTAACTTCTCTCGAAACCGTGAGGAGATAAAATTCAAGCAGGACAGCTTGCTAACATCTTACCAAGAAGAATCGAAAACCAGCTTCATTGAAATAGAACATTAATATCTATCTACCATATATATATATATATATATATATATATATATATATATATATATATATATGGATATAGATCCGACAGTATGAAGAAAAATATACTGAAAAACAAACAAAAATCTAATATGCGATTATGCTGTTTTAATGTTTAATGTCAACGTCGGACGTTTCAGTCTAATAGAACATCTTCATGTTTTATGAATATGTCCTGAAGATGGTCTATTAGACCGAAACGTCCGACGTTGACATTAAACATTAAAACAGCATAATCACATATTAGGATTTTTGTTTGTTTTTTCAGTATATTTTTCTTCATATATATATATATATATATATATATATATATATATACACACACACTATGAAATGGATTAAGTTCGACAATTATTTAATATATTTTCTGTTTATACGTTCTTTTTATAGATAAATTTTATTTAAGTATACACCACTGTTCAAAATCTTACAAAGTTACAAAAATCGTCAAAAGCTTAAAATTTTCACTTATTTGTTGATAAACTACATTTTCTAATTAAATGTAAACCTTTCTCAAATATATTTTGATTAAAGTAACAGTATTTTATATTTTTTTAACCCTTTTGTATCAGATCTTAAGATTTTGACGAGGGGTGTATGTTTGTGTTTTCTTTTTTTTAAATTAAACAGTATTAATTACATTTACCTGCCTGGATGTTCGATAAATTTCGTAGAAAATGTGTTCTCCGACAGGAATCGAACCTGTTTTCGTCTATGGAAACCATCATTTAACCTGACGAACTGTACCATTCATCTACAGAGAAGCATCTGGTTAGAAAAATTCGTATTACTGTTTATAAATACACAGTCTTCGACGATACGCTACTCTGCAGCTGAGAAAACTTATTAGAGATAAAAATAAAATACATCCTTCGGCATTTTTAAGTACTAAAAATGCACGCACGCAGACGCACATTTTTATATATATATATATATATATATATATATATATATATATATATATATATATATATATATATATATATATATATATATATATATATAAATATATATAAAACTAACTGGGTCGACACTGACCGACAACATTTTGTTTCATGCTTGAACACTACCTTCAGACCATGTGTGTTGTGTGTTGGCTCGACTGTTTACATATGCTGGTCAGTGGTGAATTATGGGTAGCAACATCTATTCTATTATCTTAACGGTTATTATATATATATATATATATATATATAGAGAGAGAG